AGAAACAGAGAGAGACCAATTAGCTGTGATTTTAACTGTCCACTATGTGAATCATCTTTAATAAGCCTGGTTTACATACATTTAGAGTAAATACCTCTTTGCACTTTGAGACACACACACACACACACACACACACATTCTCTCTTTTCAATCAGCTAGAGTATAGCAACAAGTGGCTGTTCAAATAGGTCTGAGCCAGTATGTGGCTCTCAAGGGCAAACTGCGTCATTCACATCCAAAGCAAACAACTTTGGTCTGCTTTTATAGGAAGGTTCCGGGTTCAGTACAAGCTCTATGGACAGCATGTCTACATTATGCACAGAGAATATTGTAGACGTGTCCCTCAGTTTGTAAAGAATTTAAGAGACCAGATCGAAAGTCTTCTCAGTTTGCAAGAGCAGTAAAATAATAAAAGCTAATAAAAAGATGAAGCCAAGAATTCACAACCCAGCATTTGGTAAGTTTAAAAAAGCTTTTGCCACAGATGATATCAAAGAGTATATATATATATATATATATATATATATATATATATAAAAACTTAAAAAAATAAGTTAGTTAGTTATTTATTTAGCAGCCTATGGAACTCAAATGTTGAAACTCAAAAAAATATATATTTTGAGAATTTTCATTCATTCATTCATTCATTCCACTCACTCATTCGTTCATTCACCTCACTCACTCACTCACTCACTCACTCACTCACTCACTCACTCACTCACTCACTCACTTCACTCACTCACTCCTCTCACTCCTCTCACTCATTCATTCATTCATTCCTTCAGTGGAAGTGAATGGCCACCAAAACTGGTTACCAACATTTTTCAAAATATCTTTTGTGTTCTGCAGAAGAAGGTAAGTCCTACAGGTTTGGAACAAAATTAATGTTCATTTTCACAAATACTTTAAAAAACACAAGCATGCCATTTCTGCTTTAATAACCCTCCAGAACATATTGTCCCGTAGACATTAAAAGCTAAATGAAAAGTTTAAATGATTTTCTGTAGTACTTCACAGTATTTCAGCGACACTGTTGACAAAGCTTAGCTTGTATCGAACCTGGCTGGCACATTCCCACAAAAACAGCACAGAATAGGAACTAGTGAGATAAAAGAACACTGTGTTTGAGGGCAATAAAGCACCCTACTGGATCCCAGTCTGGACTTTGATGTTGTCTATACAGTGTGTTGACACACAATCAGATGGAAACATTCTCCTGTGAAGAGCTCTGCTGTGGGGATGTTGATGTAGGATGGGCTTTCTGCGTATTCAATGTGTCCTGCTGCTAGTGCACAAACACATCGATTTTTCTCATGCAGCAAGCCTATGAAATTACAGCCAATCACATGGAGTGGCCAATCATTTCCTCCCCAGAAATTAGGTTAACGCTGCCACTTCCTGTTTGGCCTGGTTCCCTTTCTGAGTGTATTTCGCAGGCAACACTTACTTACAAAGGCTTCCACCAGCTTTCAGCCCTTGGGTCAAAGCCAGCCAGATTCCCTTGCTGGATGAATAGGCTTTTAAAGTCAATGGAATTTTTATGGAAAGATGCTGTTTGTTTGTGTGTGTGTTCTGTGTATTTAACAGATGCAAGTAGAATAAATAAAAGCAGAGCAGATGAGATGAGACAAAATGTGATGTGATGAGACAAAATTAAATAGCATGAGGCAATGAATGAGATTAGACAAGAAGAGTGAAGATTAGATAAGAAGAGACTTGGTGTGAAGAAAAGAGTATATAAGTGAGATGACAAAAGATGTTAGAAAAGAAACCAGATGTATGAGTATGTAAAACATGAGACAAGTAGAAAACAGAAGAGATAAACACCGGTATTCAGTATGAACCGGTATACCGCCCAGCACTAAGAGATAAGATGAGAAAATACTAGATAAGAAAAAAAGAGATTATAAGAAAGAAATGAGCATGTATGATAAAGCAATATTTGAGATGAGACAAGCATATTAGAGACAAGATTTAATACTGTGAGAAATTAGCCAAGATGAGAAAGGAAGAGTATGTGAGATGAGAAGAGACTAGAGCTGTTCAATTAATCGAAATGCAGTCTTGATTTCAATTTTGGCTTTATGAAAATACAATAATCGAGATAAAATGATTATTATGCCCCATTCCACCCCCCTTTCCACCGGTGCACTTTTGCTCCTCCAAAAAAAACCCAAACTTAACATGCAAATCAGTAAAATCATGTAATGTGATTTTCGCAAAATGAGACGTGCTTGATTTATTAATATTTATTAGATTTGTTCGTGTTTTTAAAAACACGAAAGATAACTTGCAATGTTCTTTGCATGCAATCCGACATGGAACAGAACACCGACATGTAAAGTGAACTTTTAGCTTTTGGAGCTCTTAAAGCGACAACAGGTAATATTCCTTCTGCCATCTGTAATATTAATCAAACAACAAAAGACAAATAGAGAATCACTCACTGCTCTTGACTGAAGGACTTTTGTAGCTTTAATAAGAAGCAAAGCAAGTTTAATTCTTACATGTTGATGTGAATGTTTGATTCATCTGTATCTTTTTTTCTATTGTTTTTGACCTTTGCTTATTTGTTTTATTGTATTACTAACTGTTTATTAATTAATAGTTTTTGAGGACTTTTTTTTAACTCATATGTTACCTTAGTATTCTGCTGGTATTGAGATTTGTGAAATTTCGCTGGTATCTAAAATGTAGATGTCATAGCAACCTTATTTATAGAAAATGTATATTTGATATATATTGCTATCTTTAAATTAATCACTCATATAAAGTTTTGGTCATATGGGTCACAAATAATTGTATTAAATAATCGTGATTAGAATATTGACCAAAATAAATAAATATTGATTATGATTTTTTGCCATAATCGAGCAGCCCTAGAAGAGATTTGCAGACATTATGTGAGAGAGTATTTAAGAGAAGAGACAAGATGAGAAATGAAGACAGTATATGAAACGAAAAAAGGAACAAGTCAAAAATAGACTAGATCATGTGAGCGAAAGAGACAAGATGAGATGAGAAGAGACAAGAAGATACAGAACAAGATAAGATGAGATTATGAGAAAGAAAAGAGCATGCAAGAAAAGGTAGTGAGACAAGACAAAAACAGTTGAATAGAGACAAGAAGAGACATGAAATGAGAAAGTAAGAGTATGTAAGAGATGATACAGGAAGAGACAATATTTTGTGAGAAATGAGGAGATGAAAAGAAAGGAGTATCAGTGCTCCGATCAGGATTTTTGCAGCCGATACTGAGTACCGATTTCTTGTCATGGTGATCGGCCGATACCGATGCTGATTCTGATGCTTCAAGCTTTATATAGACGTTTCATCAGGCGCATGCGCCTGGCCCGGCCCAAAGTTAACTTCCGGTCTGTGTTTGTTTATCAGTCTGGCTATGGCACTGGCTACAAATGCAGTTAAAGTTAAGGTGATGAGTAGACTGAAGTTGGGCTCATGTGGTTGTGCTGTGGGATGTGTTTCCCATACATTTATTTATTTGTAGCGCTCGCCACAATATCAAAACCGACCGATTTTCCAAAAGGATTCGTTGAATAAACTTGAGCACTTACTGCACATTTAAAAATCAAAACGAGGCGCGGGTGTTTTTATATCACTGTATTTCTGAAGGAAGACTATCTTTAGAAAATTTTCGAAGTTATTTTCATTTCATCTTTCATGTTATGTGCCTGATAAAGCAGAGTTTGTGAGCTCAGCGCTGCTTTGTGTAGGCCTACAGCTGTTACCGGGGAAACCTCTGTTTCTCCCACTTTAAAGCACCTCCTGCTGGCAGAGAATGAATTTGCATTTTCAGTAAGTC